TGGTCTCATTGATTGTTCCCGTTGACTGTTGCCATTGACAGTTTCCATTAATAGTTATCGTTAACAGTTCCCTCTGATTGTTCCTGTTGACAATTACCTTTGGCACGTCCCGATGACTGGTCTCATTGATTGTTCCCGTTGACTGTTGCCATTGACAGTTTCCATTAATAGTTATCGTTAACAGTTCCCTCTGATTGTTCCTGTTGACAATTACCTTTGGCACGTCCCGATGACTGGTCTCATTGATTGTTCCCGTTGACTGTTGCCATTGACAGTTTCCATTAATAGTTATCGTTAACAGTTCCCTCTGATTGTTCCTGTTGACAATTACCTTTGGCACGTCCCGATGACTGGTCTCATTGATTGTTCCCGTTGACTGTTGTCATTGACAGTTTCCATTAATAGTTATCGTTAACAGTTCCCTCTGACTGTTCCTGTTGATAGTTCCCTTTGGCACGTCCCGATGAGTGGTCCCATTGATTGTCCCCGTTGACTGTTGCCATTGACAGTTTCATTAATAGTTATTATTAACAGTTTCCTCTGACTGTTCCTGTTGACAGTTCCCTTTGACACGTACCGATGACTGGTCCCATTGATTGTTCCCGTTGACTGTTGCCATTGACAGTTTCCATTAATAGTTATCGTTAACAGTTCCCTCTGATCATCTATCATATATCTATAAATAACTTTATATAAATAGAGCAAGAAGCTTTGTTATTAGCCTTTTTTCCTTCTTATAGAAACAGAAAAACGAAAATGGAATTTTTAAAACAGAATTGGTGTGCCTGCTGCGTTTTATGATTGATAAGCTTTTACATTCGCATCCAATATCCGTGAGTGTTTGAAACTCTCATCAGGATATTGATTAAAATTCTATTTGAAATTCTGTCTGATAAGCCCTGCCTAACGTTTGTATATTAATTCAATGTGAAATTTTCGAGCATCAAAAAATTAGACATTATTCCGATATATGTAGGCATCAGGTTTAGGCGTGTATGTGAGCAAGGACCAGCACGCACATTTTCATGTCAATTTCATGATGTACACGTCGGAGAGCGGGCGGCTTATTGACAAAAATGATGGAAGATTCGGTGTATAAGTAAGGAGCAGATGCTTCCAGAATTTAATCCAATTCCATCTTGTTGCGTGCGAAAACCTGGTCACGAATTCCTATATAATAAAACCAATTCGCTTTGTTAACTTATTTCATCTCCGAGGATTTGAACTTTGTTAGGCCGCGGCGGATCCGAACCCGAGAGGAAACTTTTTTCACTCGCATTTGAAATTTAATAAAGCATTACATCATTAAGACGACGACATGAATTTATTAATCAAAAATAATATTATCCACTCCATAACAGATGTTCAATAAATAAAATTCTAAGTGCACTGGAACGCGCAGCAAGTGCCGGATCTGGGGTTCCGTCATTTAAGATACAATGAAAAAATTCCAAGAACATTTATGTGAAGGATAGAAATCTCAGAGTTTTCAAGAATAAATATTAAATACCGAAATAATTCGAACGGCGTAACTCATTTGTAGCTCGTCGCTGACTCATATCTGCTCGCCGCAATATGTCGTTTGTCGCTTAAATACATGTGCGCACAAGTAGTTACATCATGGAATGTTATTCCAAGAACATTTATGTAAATAATAAATATCCTAAAGTTTTCAAGAATAAATATTAAATACCGAAATGATTCGAACGGCGTAACTCATTTGTAGCTCGCCGCTGACTCATATCTGCTCGCCGCAATATGTCGTTTGTCCTTAAATATTTGTGGCTCGCCGCAGACTCGTATGTGCTCGCCTGCAGCATCTCGTCTGTAGCTTAAAGACAAATGTGCAAGTTTCTTTCGTGCGCAAAAGTAATCCCATCACGGAATTTTATTCTAAGGACATTTGTGTAAGTAATAAAAATCCCAGAGTTTTCAAGAATAAATATTTGATTTTATTTGTAGAAGAAGTTCCGCGCCTGAAATTTTTCCCACAAATCTCTTTTATTTAATCCATTTGGCAAACGGCTGAGCATCTCTCTTCTTTCTTCCCATTCCTCCCGGTAACTTTTCAGTATAAGCTTCAATTGCGTGATTTGGCACACGCTATTTATCGTAATCCGAGTTTGTGCTTGTTGCAACTCCTTCCGACGAAAAGAAGTCACATGAAACTTAGCAATTCCGTTTGAACGAAAGTTTTCCTTGGTACAGATTGATTGCGCGAATGAGGGGAGAACGACGAAACGGTGTAAGATTTATTTACATAACGACCCTCTTCAGAGAAGTCGTTTAAGAAACGTTACGTCTTTTTTTGCCGACCGGAATGCACTGATTCGCATGGTATGAATAGAATCATTTCGCTTGTAGATATCCTCTTAGAAAACGCCAATTGAAGCGTCTTTACAATCACCTCCGATCGATTCAAAGAGTTCGTGAAACTATTTGATCCTTTTATAATATCGTTTTCATCATAGACGTAGACATCAAATAATTCCAATATTTTACAACGAAGGATGCACGAGCTTCATCAACAACTTGAATTCCTGTACCCTCTCCTACACTAAAATCATAAAATCTGAGTGAATATTTCAAAAGTGAAAACAAATCATTGATATAGTTCATTAGTTTGTTGTTTACTCATGCACAAATCGAGCATTTGAAAACTGCTTTCAAGACGGTGAGTGTATGCGGTTGAATAATCTCGAATGTTTGAGTAATGCGATTTAACATAACTGAAAAAAAAGTGCAATTTAATTTTTACAGTTCGCTTAAAAGCTCGTGCGTGTGTGTGTGTGTGTGTGCGCATGTGTGTGTGTGTGTGTGTGTGTGTGTGTGTGTGTGTGTGTGTGTGTATGTATGTATGTATTACTTAACTGAAATGTTAGTTTCAGAAATAACTGTAGTATTTCATATAATATTTTCTAAATACGTTTCATTTCATTGCTAGTTCTATCCTGAAAGAGAATTGTCTCAAATATTTCAGTAATTCCTTTCTTTTTTTTCAGACTTTGTCTTTAATCCAGGGACTTCCATCGTATACAAGCAGCGTAATAAAAGTATCTTAGTTAATTTTGGTAAGTAGAAAGAAAGGACTAAAAGTTTAATTAAAAATAGTCATTCATTAACTGTAATCTAAGAATTTCTCGAATGGCATTGCCGTATGGATTCCTTTTTATATAGTTAAAAACGAACTTTTCGTCAGATATATTCGGAGTCTGTCTTAGAACATGCCTTGTTCGCCATGTGGAAATTCATTCTCATCTCATCAATTCCCATATACATTCTCACTTATAAAGTTCAGCCTGTGGCCTGTAACTTTGTTTGTGCATTGTTCGAAAGTTTGTCTTGTATTTTCTGTATAATACTAATCCATGTGCACCGCTCGACAATCGCCCATTATAACAATGCCTCAACTTTATTATTATTTAGTTTACTGATGTGCACAGGAAGACAAACAACTTAATATGCAGTGTTAGTTACATTTTTCTCGGGTCTACGTCTACTGATCAATGCAATTAGGTTTACTTCATTTACTTTCTCTAGCGATGTGCCCCTTCCAATGTCTTGGATGTGCGCTGACAAAATCGTTGGAAGGGAAAAAAAGCTCATTATACTCTCGACTCTTGTTCATTAAACATATTCTTTCATGCAGTACCTGCCAAAAGTTTTGTTCAATCATGAATAGTAGTGCGAGTCGAAAACAAGCGTTAAAGCCTTTAATATGTCTTCAAATATAAATAAACATCTCGTTGATATTTTCAGTAGTAAATGGTACCAATAACAGCACATTTGAGCAATGCAATTGTAGTGGATAAAATGGTCAATTTTTCCGTGCAGTACTGTACGGATTATACGCTTCTCACCGGTTGAGAGTTTGGCCAAGAGTTGTCTCCTTTCTTTTTTGGTCTAGTGATGTTCTTTTCTACTTTGCGCCGGTCAAACTGAAAGTCACATCGCTACAGAAAGTAAACGAAGTATACTTTTGCAGAGTTATAGACTTTGCAAGAACAATGTGTTATCTATTTGAATTTGAAATCGTCCATTTATTATATCTATAGCCGCCTGCAGTCATATTAAACTTATTTCTGAACTAGCGTCATATTTATAGACTTTTGCCACTAGTGCACGGATGATAAGAACTTCAGAGTTAATAAACAAACAAATTAAAGTTGAAAATTTGCTCGAGAATGTAATAAAATTTTCCTATGTTATAACATCACTTAACTTTTAATTATGTCATAACTGCGTCGTAAAATCTCGACCTCGTAAAGCACAAATTAGTTCTACTGCTAAGTGCATGTCAACTGGGTATGTTATTAGCTAACATTTGACCAGAAACGTAGGAACGTTCCCGAGGGTGTAATTTTCATAACCCATCACCAGTCGGACACGCAATATTCCTCAGCAAAAGGAAATTTGATTTACTTCTACTCGTTCTATTTTTTCTTTCGTTTCTTTAAAATAATTTCAATTATATGTGAAACTTTATTTGCATGAAAAATGCTTTCGTTTTAAACGCGTAGAATCGATTACAAGGGAAAAAATTATTAAAACAATATGTAAATTAATTTATTTTGTTTTATTTACTTCCACAACGTAACGCAACGCAATTTATACAATTTACTTCCACAACATAACGCAACGCAGCACATACAATTTACTTCCACAACGTAACGTGTACCTCAGTAGGGCTAAACATATACCCTAGACAAAAATTTTCAGTTTCTCAAAGTCTTTTAGCGTCTCTGAGAGCGTCTCTCATAGTCTCTCAGTTATTGCCTAGGTGTTTTTATGGATCTCTCATAGTCTCTGTATGAGAGACTCGAACGATAAAATTGTTAATTGAGAGATTCGAGTCTCTCACAAAGGGACTAAATGAATAAAACTGAAAAATTGAGAAACTCGAGTCTCTCGTAGAAAGACTGGGATCTCTGAAATGTGTTGAACTTAGAAAATTTTAACCATGTCTAACGAGACACCACTTATTGAGAGATTCAAGTCTCTCGTTGAAAGATTCGAGTCTCTCGTTCAGAGACTGGATACGAAATGAGGATCTCTCTATCAGCGACTCAAGTCTCTCGTTAAGAGACGCTAAACAGTTTTTTTGACAGTCTTTCTCAGCGACGCCGAAGGGACTCGATGAGAGACGGAGACTCAAGTCTCACTTTCAGAGCCACACAACGCATCCTAGGCAAAGCCCACAAAGAAGTGATTCGGTAAAACACTATAACACAACACTACATTCGCATTATCATAAAGTTTTACGTTTTTCACCCACAATGCAGTTATTTGTAATACAGTTTATAAAAATGGTAATAAATCAAAATAACCATTTACAGCTTCGATTACTTCTTCATTGTCCGCAAATCTCTTACCGCCAAGCCATTTTTTGAGATTAGGGAACAGAAAATAGTCACTCGGGGCTAGGTCTGGAGAGTAAGGAGGGTGCGGCATCAATTCAAACTTTAG